GATGGATGGATGGATGGATGGATGGATGGATGGATGGATGGATGGATGGATGGATGGATGGATGGATGGATGGATGGATGGATGGACAGATAACCATAAAAACAAAAGTCAGCAATGAATGGGTCTGTGTTGGTGCAGGTGCATGCAAGAGTGTGGATTTTGGCAGGTATTCAAATATTCTTATTCTGGCAGGTACCTAAACAAATGTTCTCGATGGCATAAAACCCTTCCTACGGCAGCAGAACTTTAGCAGTCTGTTAGAAAAGTTGCTCTGCTTATAGCGTGTGCTAAAGAAGATGCTCTTGGGTATTCTTTATAGTTCAGCATCCCTTCCTTCACCACTTCAGACTGCAACACCTGATCGAGCCCTCTGCCTCAATCAAAGAAAAAAACCTTTAAACTCATCAAAACTGTGGCAACTGTGTGCAATCAGGAAACGAGATAAAGCATCTGTAAGAATGTTTTGACACATTTTAGCAGAAAACAAATAAGCAAGAATGTAAAGAATGAAAAATGTTGTTTTTTCGACAACAAACACACCCAGATCCATTGTCTTACCTGGTGAGCACATAGGTTAAAGGCCTTTAACTGAAGGGGGGTGGGGGACTGCTAGGACTGGGGGAGGAACTCACAACTGCAGCCAGTCGGAAAGAATGAGTCTAGCTTTTTCACTGGTCGCTTTACTGGAAAAATCGCTAGAAGAGTCTGAAAGCTCGCTAAATTAGCAACATTGCGCAATCTGCTACCTTTCCATTCCATGTGTGCGCGTTGTTCTGATTGATCCAATCATGAGTGATCCAACAGCGGTCTCTGTGTCTCTGTGATGGACTGGACATGACTGCTGGAGACACCCAAGAAAGGAGAAGCGGTAGATCCGGTGAGTCACACAGAGCAGGACTTGAACCCAGCCCGTCCTCTCCGCTGCTGCTGCTGCTTCCAGGAGCGCGTGCGTAAACGCAGCTGTCGCGCTTTTTAGATTTGAGCTGACCAGAGGAAGCTCCAAAAAATAAGCAACTTACAGGAAGTGTCACAGTAAGTTTCATCTTTTTCTGTCTTTTATTCCCAGCGCTGTAACTTTTAGGCAAATGAAGTAATTAGAATCAGACCGAGCCGGTTTTTCTTGTCAAATCATTTTGGGTTTGTCTAAACTTAGACGAGCTCATTGTGACATAAGGTTATTTACGGAAGATGATGGTCGCCACCGTCCCCCGTTCAAACAAACAAACAAACAAATAAATAAATAATTCACCGTGGTCCTTCTCCTCTTCTGTACTTATTATCTGTGTTTTTTAGCAGAATAAAACCGCATGTACGTGAACTGTGAAGGTACATAACAAAAAACTAATCTTTTTTTGTTGTTGTTGTACATCATTATGATCTTAAAGAATTTGAGATTATTTTTTTTTTTTGGTCTTTTAAAATATGTTTAGTTATAAAAATAATAGCCTATCCCTACAAATGTTACATGATATATTTAAAACTTTTTATTTGCAAGTGAAATGGATAAAATGGATTAGATGTACGTTTCTTTTTTACTCGTTGAAAGTAATAGATCTAGTAGTTGATGGCAGCTGCACGCCTCAAAAAAGTTGAGACAGGATCATGTTTTCCACTGTGAAGCAACTCCTCTTGTTTTAACAACAGTGTGTAACATCTCAGCACAGAGCAGCTGCTGTGCTCAGAGGAGAATGCTGTTTATTTAGTTGCTCAACTGTCCTGGGTCTTCTTGGTTGGAGTTTTTTTGTTTCGTGATGCATACATGTTCGGTGAGAGGTCTGAACCACAGACAGGCCAGTTCAGCACCTGGACTCTTCTACCACGAAGACATGTTGTTCTAATGGATGCACACTGTCTTACTGAAATATTCAAGGCCTTCCCTAAAAAAGATGTCTGGTTACGATCACCAGGTGTTCTGCATGTAAAGTCCGCATGTTCTTCATTGATGAGGCCTTTCCAGATATATAAACTGCCCAAGCCATAAGCACAAATGTACCCACATACCATCAGCAAGACTTTTGAACTCTTTGATTAATACGGAGAATGCGGCGTTGTTGGATTTCAAAATGAATGTAAAATATTAATTTGTCTGACCACAGAACAGTTTTACACTTTACCTCAGATTATTTTGAATGACCTATGGCCTAGAGAAGATTGTAACAATTCTGGATTATTCTTCTTCTTATTCTAAAAAAGTTAAATCTGGTCCTCTGGACATTCAAAAAAAAAAATAAAAATGTAGAAACGTTTCGTCTCTCATCCAAGAGACTTCCTCAGTCTGAGGTGCTGTATTCAACTCAGTCTCTTAAATAGCACCTTCTCAGAGTGGATCAACCAGTTTTGCTGCTGACAACCAAAACCAGCTGATCACATGCTCAAGAAGGACCATCAGCCTAGCAATGGATCATTAGTACACGATGGCTGTTTACTATTCACAGAGGGCTGAGTGATACTAGCAATCACAGCATTGTAAGAGGGGGACAGTTGAACCCGGAGGCCTCCACCCCTGTTTAATGATGGACGATTTCTTTTCACAAAGATGGCCTCCTTTACTCCTCTCTCAAACCATCGTTCCTCTCTGTCCAGGATGTGAACATCTTCATCCTTGAAAGAGTAACCGCTGGCCTGGAGATGAGTGTAGACTGCAGAATCCTGGCCTGATGATATTGATCTTCTGTGCTGGGCCAGCCTTTTGGCCAGTGGCTGTTTAGTTTCCCAGATGTTAGACTGATCACAGCCCTCCTGAAAGGTCCTTCTTGAGCATG